ATATGTTGGCCGTTTTCTTCATAAGCTTATCGTGGATTTCAAGCAGTATAACGAAATGTGCTGATTTCAACAAGTCTAGGGCTTTGGCAGGACACAATTAAGAACATAAAACATCCAACTATGCAACCGCAACCAGCGTATCTCATTGCCTTCTAAAATTAAAATACCATCGGGAGTTATCTAGCAACTTTTACCACAACTAGTGATATACGGAGTAAAATGAATGAACTCGAAAAATTCCACAACATGGGGACAAATAAAACAGTTCAAGATTATGTGGAAATTTCCTCCGTCGAACTGACCGAAAATGCGACTCAACGTTATCATTGCAAGGTTTACTCGGAAGGCATTTTTGTCACAGTCAGCGTAAGACTTCAAATCGTAGGGTACCAGCATTCCTAAATCATTTTCAACTTCAGATACTTCTAGAGAAGAGTCCCCTAAGTTGTAACTATAGTCCGCAACATGTCTGAGATGGACTACTTTACACTTTGAAGTATTAACGGTAAGTCCGTCATCATCTGCACAACTTTGAAGTCGAGTCAGATCCTCCTGAACTGCCGGTTTATCCTCTTGGCTGCGTATCACTCTCTCCAAAGTCTCACATCATCAGCAAAAAGTAATAATTCAGACGATACCTGCTATGGAAGATCGTTCGCATAAATCAAGGAAGGAGAGGCTCTTGAACGTGACCGTGCAGGACCACACTATAACATTCCATAGCCTAAGAGAAGTTGAAGTTAAACCTAACCTTAAAATGTCGATTTTTTTAGATATGAAGTGAATCAATCAATTAAAGATGGTTTGACACCTAATCGATTGAGCTTATTGGTAAGATAAATATGGTTGACCCTATCAAAAGTTTTTGAGAAGTCAGAATGAAGCCCCCAAGAATCAGGATATGAGTGAATCCGAGACGATTAGAGCAGGATAATCCTGGTATCATGCGATCTATCCAGATGTATGTGCTTTCCAGTTGATAGCCGGGGTCTAAATGAAAACACCTGTAAAATGCACTCGAATTCACGGTAATATTCGAGAAATGTACCTGTTCCAAATCTCAGTTGTGTAAATGGATGAATCTTACTTCGAAACCTCTTACCTTGTGTTTTATTGAATAGCAGCAAATGTCTATCATTTTGAGCGGCACATAGTTATTGTCGTGGTTGATTGTTCGAAAGGCGTGCCCAATTGTTTGATTACCATCAGAGTGTGGGCTGACACACAATGGCAGACACTAGACCAGCTGAAAAAGATGAACAGCAGAAACAAAACACGCCACGCAAGGTGATGGAACAGCGTGTCAAAGGCGTGGTTAAGTGGTTCAATGTGAAGGCTGGATATGGCTTCATCAACCGTCAGGACACGTCCACGGACATATTTGTGCACCAATCGGCGATTTCACGTAACAATCCAGAAAAGCTTCAGCGTTCACTCCAGGAGGGGGAAGAGGTGGAGTTTTATGTTGTTGAGGGGGACAAGGGCGACGAAGCATCTGAAGTGACAGGCCCTGGGGGTGAACCTGTTAAGGTAAACTGAGTTGAGTGTCTATTCTCTTTTAGGGCAGTGTGTACGCAGCTTTGCGTGGACGTGGACGCAGCCCGCGAGTGTTTAACATGCGTGGGAGAGGTCGTGGGATGGGACCTGGTGGATTCTCTAGCAATCAAGACTTTGTGCCTTACTACGGTCCTCGGGGTCGAGGTCGTGGCCGTGGTGGCTCAGAAATGGTAAGTCGGCGAAGATTAGCATCTGGTTTGAAGTTCATGTGGGTGCCAGTCGTTGATTTACAAACTTAACCCCATAATGTTCACATTCACGATTTCTGCCCATTTTATTCATGCCAAATCGAGATCATCAGCCCGTATTCCATACTCAGGTAAACGTGTCTTCGTCTCAACGATATCGACCGTTAATGATAATCTTCTGCAGGACGTACATCCAAACCCGTTAAGTAAATGTGATTTCTGCCTCAGCTTGAACCTTCAGTTCAGGCTCATGTGCTTAGATTTCGTTCTCATGGTGCTAAAGTACAGGCCCCGGCACCATTCATTTGAGGACAAACTTAACCCTTAATATAGATTACTTGAGTATGATTTGGAGTCAGCTACAGCATTAAGATTCCTGTACCTTCACAGGGGATTGCTTTTCAATATGTTGATTCTCTTTCCAATTATTGATTTAACTTTCTTTTCGACTTCAGTACGGAGGTGGTTACGAATTTATGGATCGTGGTGGGAGAGGCCGCGGGTTCCGTGGACGTGGAAGGCCTCGTGGTCGTGGGTTTAGGGGATCCGGTGGGTTTGAATCTCGGGGTCGCGGTGGTCCTCGTGGAGGAAGAGATAATTATCATAACGAGGATGGTAAGTTGTCAGCCTGTTTCGGTCTATTTGTCCTGTCGATATTTTTTATGTGACTCCGGCCACTTCGTTCTCTTGCCACTAAGGCCTGGTGCACGGCAATGGTGTGCTTTCGTTTCTGATAATGATAACGAGTATTTTCTAGGCAGTTCTACTTGTGATTTTGTGCTAATGCTTCATCCCTGACCATGTTTCTCACTCATTTTAGGCTCACCGGATATGCGAGACGCTTAAAATCCTCTGGTCAAATACTGAGAAATGTCATTTTAGAAATCTGTGTATTCTGTCAGCATTCATATATGCATGTCTACGTTTCAACTCAATTGTTTAATCATCCAACTTGCAGCACATTGGATTGTCACTTGTCTTTATGGTATTTCGGATGTACACCAAATTTTTCCCTTCCTCAGTTTCGACGTCTAACTGGTCAAACTTGAGTGTCTCCAATTTTTGAATCCAGAGTTCCTGTGGGTATATTCAACATGTTTCATTCGATCTTACAGCCTTAGCTTTCTGCGCTTTTCGATGCATTTCTTGCCTATCAGGGCTTTCCATCTGAACTTGATTACTTTTCTACTGTTTCATATCTACTTACTTCCGTCTGCCAATTGCTTGAAGGTTCAGACCATTTGAGAAAGTCAGAGATCTGACTCGTCAGCCATTGGTGATTATACTTTCCTGTAGAATGTGCATTCTTCTGTCATCTTGTGTGGATATCTGGTGCTGTATGGTTTGACTTTTTTCGTAATCAAATATGCATTTTGATACTTGATAAAATTTCTTTAGAGTAATAATTTGCATTTTATCTCTCGTGAAAAGCTTGGGTATGTGTTTTTTGAGCGACATTTCTATCTCGATCCCTGAAAAGTGCAAAGTTGAGCTCATCAGTAAGGTTGAGTCGTAGTTACAAAATATCCCTCACCTCTAGCTCCGATATATGGGGTCTATTGCGTCTCACTTTGACTTCGATTGGATCAACCTCAAAAGTGGCGTGTCCACGCTGGACTGTATAATCAGGGGTCTCACTTTGTTCTGGACGTTTCTTTGCAACTTGACGAATGTCCAACGAGATAGCCTGGCTGCACGTTTGCCGATGTACTGGAAGTGTCTTCGTGTGGGCTGTCATTTTGTGATGCGCGAAGAACGGCTGGGTCGCGTAAGGCCTGGTGTTTGGCTTAGTGGTATTGACTACCGCATACCGGGTTCGTCTAGTGTTATCTCTTGTGTGGTAGCAACATTTGCAGTCGATGGATCCTAAACTATTATAAACCGACTTACGGGCACGTGTTCATGGTCGTTAAGTCATAGTTTGAATAGTCCTAGGTGATAAGAAGCCGTTTGTGCATGTTCAATAGCGTGATATTCCAGCAAAGTATTTGTGCCTCATTTGTTTGCAGACGGTATGTGGTCTGTCGACGTGTGATGTTCAGTGGTATAGGAGTAGGTTGGAAGAAAGCTAGGGGCGACCAGATCAAAGCATAGCCCAAGTCTATGAAGTCACTGACAAGCGGACTGAGTCATGTTGGTACGTGTAGAATACCCGGTTGGGGACCGCGAGATGATAGCAACCGATGGTTAGAGACCCTGGATGATATGGCTCGAAATCGTTCGCAATGGCGCAGGTGCATACAATCTTTGTGTTCTCCCAAATTTATTTCACTGGATTACACTCTTTAAATAACATCTCCAAACCCCAATCTTTTCGATTACTGTTTATACTCTTACTACCTCTACCACTACTGGTTTTGAATCGACAACTGCGTCTCTGTGCTAATGTGGTATGGCAATTCGAACTGATGTACGTAAGTATGAAGTTCTACGTTGTTACTGACTGACTGGTATGTGGTCTGAAATGTTAGCTGGGTGTTAATGTACTGGCGGGCTCAATGCTGATGGTGAGGTTCGTCGTTGATGGTAGTTCCCAATCCAGTTTGAGCGACCGCAATTGTCCTTGCAGCTTACATATATTTTGTGGCCTTATATACAAATCGGGTAGATAACCGTACTTGCTGGTCGGCCAAAACGTCTAGCCAGCCTTTTGCTGATAAATTTGCTTGTGATACATCTACGCAGGGTGTTTTCTTTTAACTAAGTATGTCTGTCATTTTAATACGCTATGCGGCATGTTCACTGAGTGCACTGTACAGAGCTTATGACAATACTACTAGCCATTCCTTTAGGTGAAAACAACGACTTCCCCGGGACGGAGTACTCAGTACACTGTGTCCAGCGGGCTTCTGGTGTCACGGTACGTAGCCAGAAGCAGATGGTGTCTCTAAGACAGGAACTTCGGTGGGCAGATGTGTTGTACAATCAACATTCGGTTCTAGCGGGTTGACTGCTTCGAAGTAGCAACTCTAAAGCGCACATGCTCTAATTAGGTTACATCGTACCTATTTTGTGCATACATAAAATCATATTGGTATAGCATACATAAGTAGTGTTTATGATGTGATAAGGTGTTTTAGGTGAAGCGCTAATATATCGGCCCCTAATGCCACGACGATGTTTTGGTGTTCCGGACTGATGAGTTCAGATAGCCGGCCGTATTTGAGTCTCAAGATACCTGCTAGTAGGTGCTAATTCAACTAGTAAGCAGTATGTATTTACACTGCAGTTACCGATTATCAAGTTACGATAGTAGTATACATCAAGCAGACATACAAGCGTTTCAGTATGATTGATAGCCCAAAAGAATCAGGAGAATGATATGGCTGATCCTAATTGTCATACTTGGCATGAACACGAGAAAATAGTTGAAAAGGGAAATTCACACTAAATGTCTTAATTTAGAATTAATCTGTAGTAAAATATAAAAGATTAGGAGGTTAGTTGTTATTTTCAAAAGGTAAGTATCACCAATATTTTTGGCGAAATGTTTGGAACTGAAATCATATCACAAGAACATCTCCCACACATTTTGAACAAGAAAACAATTCCAGATTATGCTTTCGTTTTCCAGTAGACTGAAATAATTCAAGTGTTTTCAAAAGTAAATCATCAGTCTCAGTTGTTTTCAGAGGAGGTATTGTAGACAGGGCAGTTGTTGAAGCATCAAATGCAGTTGATGTGGTGGGAAACATACGATCGTATTTAAGAATATTCTTATTATTGACTCTTGTCAGAACCTATAAAAAGGAACATCAAAATACTATACATAATTATCAACCAAACTTTGTTTCAGTAAATTGAAAATCTAAGTGATACAAAGCTGGAGACTATGTGTATGGCACTTATTTTCAAGTGTTCTTTCCAACTCTCAATCAGACTAGATGTTTGTTTGTTACTGTCATATCAATGAGTTGCGCTGGAGTTTCCAATCAGCTTTAAATAAGAGAATATTTGGGTTACTGCTTGTTGAGTAGTCCGTCAGTATCAGTTGTAACGAAATAATTTACGGTAACCACCACCTGTTTGCTAGTGTTCTGCAGTTGAGTAATCTAAGGCTGATTTTCTTTGTAAACTTAAGAAAGGCGTCTAAATTAGCATACAAAAACGATGCTTGACTGACAAGGTACCTCACAAATGATCAGTGTGATTATCTCTGAATCAGTTTTGACCTGTCGAATGCAATTTCCTGTACTTTATCACATTTAAACTACCAGACTTTTGTTTTGTCGCAGGTTTTATCTTATTTTTTTCAAAACATCGTCACTCATTTAAGCTTCGAGAGTCATTAGGGTTGAAACTGATGACCAAGAAATTAGATCTATGCCATCATTTTACTACTGATTAACATCTTAATAACTAGACTAAATAAACACAAAATACACGAAGCTAGAGGGACCACATATGTAAGAAAAGAGAAATGACAGTGAAACAGCAGTTTTACTATACTAGTTAGGGTAAAGCATATTCCACACAAGAAATGCTGAGACAGTACACTGTTCAAGTAAGAAAACCGACAAAACACAAGGGTTTATTATTAGTCTGCAATTGTTGAAATACGACATAACACTTTATATAAATGGCTTCATCAAGAACTAAATACTTCCCTGTGCTTCTTAAATTTCACCGTATTTCCTAGGTTATATCAACTAAAAGTTGTAGTAGTAATCTGATTATTAGTTGACAATGACCTGTGTAGGACTATGCTAATTTGATATTGCTGTGGACAACCTTTCTCTGAATGCAGACAACTCTGATTTCAAATCAGTGGGTCAAACGATACGAGCATATTCTATGATTGACAGTGGTGGTAATGTTTTCTTAACATCTGGAGTTTCATAGTGGACGAATAAATGTCAGTGACACCGTAGCAATGTATTATTTTATAAACCTAGCATTAATTGGATAGAGACAACTTAAGTGCTTCTCTCCGTCGCCTTTCAAAACACTAACATATAAAGTTGCGCACGGGAATGCTGAACCAGGTTGGCACGCCTTACATCATCATAGGGAAAAGAGATCAACTGGAACGGAAGGATATTGAAAGGAATGAAAAGCAGACACAGAGTAAAATGTTCAAACAGACTGTGAGTGTGGTTACGCCGCTGCGGTCGACCGAGAGACATCACATAAAGTTTCCAATTATTGATTTATGCTACTTTGAGGATCTCCTTATAGAAGGCTCACACTTATCAACTAAACTAACAGCGACGTATGACATAGCTAGATAATGGTTCTGTAAGACGTCATATACAAGTACATGAATGATTACTATTAACTAAATTTCCATGTTCATCTAATATGTACGAAATAAGACAATGGATAAATAATTACTTAGAGGTTAAATATTAGTCAACTAATGCATTTTCCCAATTTCCCTATTTTGGGGAAATGGCAAAAAAACCCAAAAATTTCTCCAGGTCTAGGGAAAATATCCAAAGTTTCCTAAAAATAGGGAGATTGGGTTGCCATATTTGAGAACCAATAAAACATAGGATGAGAGCGAAACCAACGTGTGATTTAGGTGTACAAGGAGTTTTCGGAATCTGAGAAATTTCTTGATTTATGAGTACCAAATATTTTGCTGGCTGATTTTAATTCTTACTAAAATATAAGTGCTTTGACTAAAGTTGGAAAACATTGCACAGGAATAAAGTACGAACACTTACATATTGAGCCAACTCTTCACCAACTGTATCTGAAGAGCATTGAATCGGTTGGATACTAGCGTTCGGTGATATCGCTAATGCCAAATCAAAACACAGTGATGTCAAGCTTAGTGTACTACATGTCTGATTAATCGGTTTATTTAGTTTAATATCGTGTTTATTACAATAATCAGATAACAAAGGGATTGCTTGACTTAGATATCGACGTATTTGTGCACGTTCACCAAGAAGATGCGCCAGCGCGTGTCGAGCTAAATGTGCCTGATGCACTGACATGGTGGCATGTTTAGCTGCTTCACCCGCTACAGCACGACTAGCAATACATTTTGTCTGCCATACATCAGCTACAATTTCTGCTGTGTTGGCGGCTTCTTGTAGAACAGATTTCTGATGGGCTAAACCTTCACTTTGACCACAAAGGTATGCATTACTACTGATTAAATCGATTAGCTGTTGAGCCACATTTAAATTACCAGACATAGCAGATACCAATAAGTTTTTTAAGTCGGCGTTAATCTGAAGAGAAATAAAGAATGGTGAACTGAACAATAAGAAATCTTCGTTACAAGTTTATGTACAAAAAATAGTGAAAAACCACGGTTTAGGATAAAGTATTTCCCAATTTTATGGACAATAATAATGAGAACACCACTCAGCTCATAAACACGAGATAGTATCGTAAAGTAGCTTGTGCGAAAAGTATACTGCCGCAATCAACAAGAAAACAGTACTCCTGATTAGATGGAGGAGCATGTAACTTGTGGTAGATTGGTCTCACACTATGCATCAAAACTAATAAGGTATACTGAGAAAGTTATTAGCAGATATCTATAATTTCTTTTAGGAGAGACGGGGACTGAATCTAACGAATGATATCCTAACTCCAAATCAGACTGGAATGTGATGAAAATCATCCTAACCTAAAAACTCAGTATCAGTCCATGAGGCTAGTTAATAACTACCTGGAAAATGATTGCCGAAACAAGTGATATTCTACTGCAATTAATGTTGGAAACGGGTAATAATGTTGAATTCTAGATTCGTAGATTAAAACGCTGTTTACAGATTCTGAATTTCAATTCAAGTAATGATTAATCACGAAAACAGAAAAGTCAAACTAAAATAAGGTAACTTATATATCTCCTGACTCAGACTACTATTTGAATAAAATCAATTTATATAAACAAAACAATTGGGAATACTTGTTACATTTTTTCTACACGAAAAGATTTGGTTTTTTAAATAAAATACCATTAGCATTGATCAAATGCGTACTATAAAAAGTACAATTTGATCAATTAAGCTTACCTCGAAATTCAATATTATTCTAATTGTACGCGGTAAGTATTCTTATATCTACACATATTCCCACTACAATTGATTGATTATTCGTGGAAACACTACATTGGAACACCTATTGAATAATCAGTAGATACGAAAATAAATTTTACAGTCGTTGGTCATAAAACTGAAGGTGCTCATTAAATTGTGGTCGCTAGTCTGGACTTTGTTTTGATATTGGGTGATTGGAGGTAATCAATACAAAACTGTGGACCTAGATTTGGTGATAGTTAAAACTTGTCAGGAAGGTGTACATGCAATTTTGAGCGGACTAATGCTCCTTGTAAGATTCTTGGACGGCATATTAACTCATACAACAATTCATTCGATCATTTAACTAACAAATCAGATCCACATTATTCGTCTAATCACTCTTATCGTTTGATCTGTAATGTCCGGAATATATTTTGTATCCGACGTGAAATATTGTGTTGTTAAATGAACCTAGTTCCACAACAGGATTTCTGAGAAAGTATACTAAATTAATCGAGGACCAATTTACTTTGGAATTATATGTATTTACAAACTAGGAATTCTCGATTTCAAAGAAACTAAGGAAACGGAAATTGCTTACTCTCTGTTGTAATTTTAACGCCTTCTGAAGTGACTCTTTACTGTCATCCGTACCATCAGAAGATGATAGATGTGGCGAATTTTGATTGGTAGATGCTAAATTACGCTGAGCTCTGATTATATCTTCAATATTAAATATAATGGCATGATTATTATCTGTTTGAGCTTCTTTATCTACTTTCATTGTGGGACTACATGAAAGATGAGCTGAAGAATTCGATTTAGCGGGTAGTGTAGGATAAGCATGCACAATTTGTTTCAGGGTCTTAGGATGGTATACAAATGGTTTGGATGAAGTGATTGATTGCCAACGAACTTGATCACGGACGACAACTTTATCACATGCTATCCACTCCGCAGGTTTGTTCGCTTTAGATGGAAGGGTACACTGTTTCGTAATCATTTCATTTTTCTTAGAATATTGTTCTGCCTTCCGTTTTGTCACTCGAAAGGGAAATGAAGTTGAGTTAAACTAAAAGGGTTGTATATCTAAAAGTATTGTGAGTTGGACATAATATGTTGAGGTGCAATTTGTAGGATATAACATTGTAGAATACATAGTATTGACCGTAGATATTACAAAACAATTTAGTATGCACAAAAAGTGTGGCGATTAAAACTAAAATACAAGACCTATTTCAACTAAGTCAATTTTACTACACAACTTCCCAAGACCCATAATTCCGGTACTAACCAAACAGTTAATTATAGTTAGTGAAAAGTTGATGTAGTCTGATACCTGGAGGGAGTGATGTTTACGAAAGTGAGAGGACGAAAACCGAATGTCCGGCGCTTTAACCGGGTTGGTGGATATGGAGAATCTACCTAGGGGAGTTGGGAAACCCTGATTCCAAACTAATAGTGCACTTGAGCTCCAGTGACCTAAAGGAACAAATGGCGTATGGACATATTGTTAGTCACCGGCTACCATGGGATTGCGTCTCCTAAAGTTGCTCCACCGCCTTGTGGATCAGACTTTTAGGTCAAAGGCCCCGGGTGTGGTCCCCTGAGAAAACCACCTGCGTCGGTTCGGGCACCCGGGCAGTATTACAGCCCTCACCGAAATCAATGATAACTGCTCAGTCAGTCAGTAACAACGTAGAACTTCGTACGTACGTACATCAATTCGAGGTGCAATACCACATTAGCACAGAAATGCAGTTGTCGATTCAAATCCCGCAGCGGTAAAGGTAGTTAGAGTATAAGCAGTAATCGAAAAGATTATGGTTTGAAGATGTTATTCAAGGAGTATAATCCAGTGAAATTAATTTGCTACTGGTCTCAACGTTATTGTGTGGCGCATATCTATTTGGTGTACTCTTGTACCAATGCTTATGTGTTCAAATGAATAAATAAATAACTTTTCAAATGTAAATGTCGACTAGATGTTTAGGTAACTGAATGAGACGCTGAAGGAAATACTTTGTATGGACTTACAGGCTTTCGGTAAGGACGAGGAAACAACGATGTCTGGAGTTGAAGTACTGGACCTTCTATTTGAGGAGGCACGATAACTGATTGGTCTTATGAATGATATTAGGAAGTTTTTAAACCACTGAATTAAGCAGGTCGTGACCAATCAGAAATACTAATAATGATTGCCAAGAGTGAAGAGGCTCAATATTTGAAAGAGAGTCCATACAACAACAGGTGGCCGTCCTAGGCATTTTGTGGCGTCTTGTAAAAGCAACTAAAGTCCGACTACATTTCTTGCTAAAGGGAACAACTAACCTTGAACTTAGCTCGGTTAATTACGTTACAATGATCGGTTCATTTAACGTAGTTAAATTAATACGTTTAGAACAAATCCCTTGGTCAATAAACATAGACGCATTTGTTACACAATACAGTACAAATAAAATTTAACTAAGCATTCCAAAAGCAGGGACAGTCGTGACACTGAAAACTTATTGCAATACGATTCATTTGAGTACATGTTTGATTCACAAGCGAATGTCAGATAGCAAACTGTGGGCTAATGTCTCTGAAATTGCAGTTAGACAGAAATGGGTCGTGATTTGCATAAAATTATAGAATATAGTCGTCATTATCCATGCTCGTAACTATTAAGTCCAGGACTCGGAGTCATTTAGACTACAAGCTCAGGATCAAGGTCCTTACAATTTACTGAAGTGAATCCTTCAAATTCACTGAACCGGCTTAGAGATCGAACATAAAACTTAGTTTTAATCTTCATACACCAGGTAAAGACAGACAAACATCACTAATATAGTCTTGGACAAATGTTAGCTGGCCCAAATAAGCAGAATCTCCCTATTTTCATAAAAACAAAGTCGCACGGGAGCGCTTCGGGAAAGAACGAGCTCTACTTAACATTAGTCGTACTCAGGAAAAAGTAGATAATGATTTTGCTGAATTATTTAAAATCATCGTTATGGCAACCTGGAGACTAGATATACGACAGAAAATAGTGTGACTATGTAACGAATGAAGTAAGATATCCTCCACAAGAGTGAAGGAAACAGCGGTTGCACATCGTGTATTCTATAATGACATTAATGGTAATTACAACCCATTTATCAAAACACGTACGTGGTTAATATTTTGACTGGGAACTTCTCACCTATAGCGAAGTGAGTACCTATTGAATAAATATTAATAAAGCAGTTAATCGAACACAGAGCTTTTCTCACCACCACTTCCATGTACCTCAACAGGAGTTAGTGAACCGTAAGTTGGAGTTTATGTAAACATCACAGATAAAGGCTGCGAAATGTTGACAAAATGATTCTGAAAGCAATCAGCGTCTGTCCACCAAGATTGATAAACTGATCGCGTACATTAAAAGCTCATCCATGAGTGTGAAGGACAGGTGCACCGACCACATAGACACTTCAAGTTTCGCATTCCTATTAAAAACACATGAGTTGCGTACTTTTAAAGTTGCTTTGGAGGAGCTCAAGTTTCGTGATCAGTTCGTAAGTTGTAACAGATGTTTCAAAACATTTTAGGTGGTCAGACTGTACGAGATCATATGTGATGATCCTCGTAAATCAACCAAAGCACGTCTAGGTTACTTGCTGACACCGGAACTGGCTACTACTTATACTTTACGCGGAACTAAAAGCAAACTGGGTATCAGTAATTACAAATACTACAGGACGGCTCAAAGTAAATTCACATCACAGTATTAATATACTTGTAGGTGTTCTGTATTCATGGTTCCGAAGTGCAACCTGTCCAGAAAAAGAAATAGCGCACCCATAGATGTTGCAAGCCATGCTTTCTTGCACGATGCAAGAGATGAAGTCAATAAGCGTGGGTGGCGATCCAAAGAAATGGTGAGCTAAATGCACTTTAAATGTTTGGTTAAATACCGATTTTTGTATTGATATTAGTTTGTGATAAACAACAACTATTTCTTGCTCATCGTATTTACAGCTGGCTTCGCAAGTGTTAACAGACGTAAGTTTTTCATTCCGATTATTCACAATGTTGTTATACCGTTGGTACGTCATCAACCTTTTTACATAACACTCAGGATTCATAAGTTGGATGATCGCCATGACATTTGTTTGTTTGCTAAAGAGTAACCATTTTTTCTTTTTGTAGAACCTTGTGAATGACAGTTCAACGTCTACCTAACGTACTTCTCCGAAACATATAACCAGTTGAGATGGTGGGGATTTGTAGCTCAGGTGGATGATTTTGATGGAGTTCTGTTCTCTGAGCTGGACGGTTTGGTCGTGGAGCTTTCATCGTCCTTCTGAACGACATCATCGGCACAAACTTCAGATCAAGGTCAATAAGAACTAATCAACGTCGAGGTGTACAGAACAGGCTGTGAAACGCACATGGAGAAATTCGAACACTTCACTTCTATCTGAAGTTTGTGCTGATGATGTCGTTCAGAAGAATGACGGAAGCTCCACGACCAAACCATCCAGCTCAGAGAACAAAACTCCATCATATAACCAGTCATTAAGAAATGGAAAGGGCTATGTGCTAGAGATAATTTGTGATTTAATAAACTTTAATAAGCATTTAAATGTGTGACGAATCAGTATTTTAATTACAGCGACAGACTGACTCTCGTTACCGACCGTAGTTAAATTGCTTCGGCACTGCATTTACTGTGAGAAATTGACAGGGAAAGATGGAAAACATAAGTAGAAACTTTTAGGTACTTATTATTAAATCTCCAGGCTTTTCCGTGATATCTATCGAGACATTTTGGATAATTTCACCAAAAATGAGGAGGCTTTCGAGGTTTTATCAATAAATATAGACGGATTTCCCCAAAGTGGAATAAAATTCTGGGGAAATATTTGGGAAAACCCCGAAGTTTTGGAGATATATAGGGGAAAACACAAAATGTTGAGGAAATTCGCCAGATCTAGGAAAACTTTGAGGTTTTGGTGCTATCCCGTCAAAATTTTTTAATAGCGTCTTCCTCAAAACGGGTGAAATTTCCCCAAATTGGGAGATTGGGGTGTCTGATACACTGACTGTGTTTAAAGAACCCTCTTAGTGGATACTAAAAATATCTACTGTAAACCAACAGTATTTAAGGAAGGATTACATGAATACCAATGCACCGGTCTTCATCAAAACATGTTTTGATTGCACAATTGTGCAATATGAAATTATCAGTGTATATACTGACAATTTAGTAGACTTGACCTCGTGACTAGTTTCCATTGAGGCTACATCACATCAACTCCTACCATCAGTTAACAATATGTTATTTACCTATAATACCCGACCCCCCCCATTAATGACCTTCAAATTCAAATGGTACAAATGGTTGTGGACGGAATAGAAGAAGCTTTCGTTTAACAGGCTTCCGTGTCTAGTAGCAAGGGATCACCGAATCGTCCAGGCAGGAACCTAGGTATGTTAACAATAAAAGAGGAAAAGAAATTGGTAAATCATAGTGTGGTACTATCCTTAGTCCTTAAGAATAGATCAAGTTGCCTCTTAAAGGACTCCTGGGAAGTTGCTTGGACTAGCTCGGCCGGCAGCGAATTCCAGCATTTGACAACTCTTAAGGAGTAGAAGTTGTGTCTACAGTCCGTTCTGCTAGGAGTCCTGATGCCCTATGACTTAAAGTCTTACGCTAACTGTGACAAAACTGCCTTCCGAGCAAACCTTGCACTGGTAACATTGAAGCGCATTTTTGGACAGTTTGACGGACGAACTTTCCATACAATCTTCAATAGTTTCATCCGTCCCCATTTAGAGTACGGAAACATAGTACTCCCCCCCTCACTCCAAAAGGACAAGGTCACTTTGGAGCGTATCCAACGGCGAGCCATGAAATCAGTTCGAGTACTCAAATTTAAACCTTATGAAGAGCGCCTCCATTCACTTAGCCTTTACCCATTAGAGCATAGACGTCTTCGAGGTGACCTCGTGATGGCTTACAGTATCCTTAACACT